TTGAACAGCATTGATTGATAGAGGTGCTGTAATCTAACAATGAAATGTTGACTTAAAAATCTCTTTTTTAACAAAAACAAACCAAACAAACAAAAAAAACAAAGACAGAAATTTGTTGTCTGAGGAAAAAGTAAGTTCATGCTTAGTACTAGGTATTGCATCCTTTGGCAGGAACAATTTCTTGAAATCATTTCTCATACCTGCTTTTTACCTCGACCTGGAGAAACAATTCCCCCCCTCCAGGGGACTTGAAGAGGTCCGGCCCTGTTCAAGTCCCCCACAATTTCAATTGGATTAATCTGACTCGGCCATATCGCTGATTTGACTAATTCCTTCACAGATTTATCTGCATGTTTATTATTTCAAGCTTCAACGTTTTTACAGATGGCACCTCACTCTCCGGTATGATGTTGAATTCATTGTAGGCACTATCATGCTAAGTCGGCCAGACCCTGAAGCAGCATAGCTGCTCAAGTCAGGACACACCCGCCACCCTTCTTCACAGTTAGCATGAGGTCCCCTTTGTCAAACACGTCATCTCGAATTGTGCCGGAACAATTCCACCTTTGACTTATCTGGCCAGAGCACAGACTTCCAGAAGTGTCCCTTATGCTGGTGTTTAACGGCAAACATAATGGCAGCTCTTTTTTTATTTTGGCTTGACGGCACTTTGTATCCCAACGGCTATGACCAAACAAGACCACTTGTTTATGTAAGGTGTGACTTGATTATTAATGAGTTAATTATTTGCACCTGATTTGGTGCATCTGATTCTAATTTTTTAAGTTTAGTGTAGTGATAAATGTAGGGATGTACTAACTTTTTACTCACAAAAAAACTGGATTTTTGTTTAACTGTGTAAATGGTAACCGTGACTATAAATTGCATCTTATTACATTACAAAAATGTCACTTTTATTAAAAGATTAATATAATCATTCTAATATAATCCAAAAAAATGAAATTTGACATTATAATTAAAAATTCTGTGGAGTCAATTAGTTACATACAGTATTTAAGAATAAATTTCCTATTGGAATGCTGCTAAAGTATTTCCACAACCAATCACACAACCACACCCCTCAATGAACAGTTTATGGAGGACTTCAGTGAAAGCACAGGTCCCAAATCTCTCCTAACTTCCTCTCATGACCTTCAAGAAATGCCTCAGACACAATGGAAATCTGTTTCTACCTCTTCAGGAAATAGATAGATACTTTATTAATTCCACAGGAAACTGAACATTTATAGCAGCACATTACACACATGTAGACAGTGGACGGTTCTGGTCCATTCAGACAGCTGCTCTATCCCCCCCCATACCCCCCCCGCTGCCACCGCCATTAGGTGGTTTGTTGGAGAGTCTAAAGACTAAAGGCTCCATGGAGCAGTGAGACTGTCTCAGTCTCTTGCTGAAAGAACACACCGCATTTTTGTGAGTGTCTGGACCATGAGGAGTTCACGCTAGGGCAGTGTTTCCCAATCCAGTCCATGGGGACCCACAATCAGTCCATGTTTTTGCTCCCTCCAAGCTCCCTGCCAGACAGTCCACATTTTTGCTCCCTTGGGAGCTTGGAGGGAATAAAAATATGGACTGTCTGTGGGTCCCTGAGGAGCGGATTAGGAAACACTACTCTAGGGGTTTGGCTAGTCATTCAGGGTTAGGGAGTGTCACAAAAAATGCAAGCAAGCAGAATTCAGGGTGGTTTCAGGGGGACCAGTCAAATCCAACAAGTCAAAAACTAGCATTGCTTTGAAAAGACTATCAGTCTCTTTTGTCATCACTCTTATGAACTGACAGGGTCAAGGAATAATGAATGAGCAGCCCTCATCCGTAACGTTTAACAACTAACTGTAGAATTTGTTTGCATGGTGTCTGAGGATGTGTCAAGTAAGGCGACAGCAATGAAAGTAAGCTGAACAATGACTTTAAACGGCTGAAATCTACATTTATTTGGGAGTAGACCTTAGCAGCAGCTGGAATGGTCTGTCCTTAGCATCACATTATATAGCCAAAGCTTTTGGCTAATCAAGCAGCAGGACCCAGTGCTGTCCATGTTCGCCATTCTTAGAGGGGAATCATTTCAGTCTGACTATCCCATTTCAGGACCTACGCTGCAGGCCTGACAGTCCCTTAGCCATTCACCAACAGGAGGAAAGTGATATTCTTTCTGGATGGAATTTTCGCTGAATTAACTTGGGAGCTTAATTCAATTAGGCAAACTCCAGTTCAACAGTATTAAGCCAGTGTCAGATTTCTGTATTTGAAACAGATGGGTTGTTATAATATACACATATTATTATGTGCTACAGCATGATGAAATCCAGCTTCCTTGAATTCACTGGCATTCTGTGCACAGGAGAAGCTTCCATATCACAGAATGCCACTGTGACCCTGTTAGCATGCACCAAATCTCCACCCTATAAATGCATATGGCTGCTTCACTAGATATTGCTGACGCAACATGAAATCTGCATAATACATCCCAATCATAGAACTGATTATTTTTGTTAAAATATTATTGTAATAGTCATAGATAAATCATATTGGTTGAGATCATACTTTCCAGATAATAGGTTCCTGTGCTAGCAGCTAAAGATCATGGGTTTCCTCCATGGGAGAAAGCTGGATAACTATTTTGGGCCAGTAGGATACCAACCCAGATGGCACCATGCTATTGTGTCAATGTTGAAATATAGTTAAATGCGTTGAATTATGGTCAGTTTTAAATTATCAACATTGAAACTGAATTGATTTTTGGTCAGATTTTCAATATTGAAAACTTGATGGTGGCAAAACCTTGATTCAATGTTGATATAAAGTGAGAGATTGAAGATCAATATTGTTTCAACCTTTTTGTCTGATATGGAACTCTTCCTACACCCATTAAAAAGCACTATGAACCTTGGAGGTCAAGCATACCACCTATTTCCCCACCCATCATGATACACTACAATCTTTGGAAAACCAGAACACCACCCACTTCTGCACTCAGTAGTGCAAACTGTTGGCCATAGGAGTTGAAGACAAACAGGTGGATTTTTTTTTTTGCTGTACAAATAACTTTCTTTATTTAGCTCAGACTACCTTAAATGCAACAACTTATCTGGCTAACTACTGTAAGGAGTCCTGCTTTGCGGAACACCCCCATTGTTAGCATAGCCCCGAACAACCTTAAAAAGACAACCTGTTTACACATAGTAATTAGGCAGGGTGACCAGATAATCCAATCCACTTTGAGCCACTTCAGGTTTTACAAACTACTTTAAAACTGAAAGGCTCCTGTGCTTGGCTAATTAGTTAAATTATTTTTGTGCTTTGACTGGTCTGTTTCCTTGATTGAAAGACTCGTCAAGCTGTTTCACATTAACATTAATGACACAAGTATGGTTACAGGAGACTGACCAATCAACACGCAATCAAAAAATATATGAATACAGACAGTACAGACTAACATACGTGTGCAAAGTGGTCTTTGGAATTAATGTAAAAAATGGAAGGAACGTCCAGTTGGAACGTTGTAGTTGTAAGTGGAAAAACAAGGAAAATTCTATCGTAAGCCGAGTATTAAAATGCGAGTCCACTGGAGATCTGCTAAAGCCAGCTCTGCTGGAATGGATTAAGAGGCTGCTTTTTACATCACACTCACAAATGCCGTCGGAATCCAAAACAAACTATAGGACACAATAGAGGGGGGAAATCCCAGATAATGGTGAATATTTAACTATTTGCATTGAATTATTTCTCCAAATGAAGATTCGTGATTGAGTGACATAATGGCTAAAGGAAAACAGCTACCAACTCACTTCGCCTCAAAGTCGGGCAGCTTTTGTCCGTATTGAAAGATGAACTGTATTTTTTTGGCAGTTGAATTAAAGACGTACTGTTAGGTCGTTTATTTGCTGCCATCTAGTGTCTAAATAGTTTTAATATCCGCTATTACGTTCGTGTGACCGCAGATGAAAATAAAATCTGAAAAGATCTCAAAACTCTTTCATTTATTTCTCCAAGACAACAGATCTGCGTGAAACCAGACTATCGCTTATTTCTCCAACCATACTTGTGTGTGCATTGTTCTAGTAGCAGTACAAATGCACATTTTAGCGGGGTTACTGAAAGTCTTGAGTTATTTTTTTTTTTTGCCGCAATCAGGAGGGTACCCTGCTTTCTTTATTCTTTCCCAGCACAGGACCTCGACCACAGTACAGTAATCAGTTAAAACCATCAAAGGCCCCATCACCCACATTTCTTGCAGTTCAAAGCTCTGAGCTACTGGGATATCAGTCAACTATGCACAACTGCAAATCAGAAGTTTTCAATGTTGCTATTAAAGCAATACTTAAATTGATTGGGTATAGTTTGGCATATTAATAATCAATCAACGTACATTCTTCTGTAATAGATTAAAACATGATTCAGCCTTCCCACTGGTGTGGTAGCTGAGAGTGAGAGGTTTGATAATTTTTTGCTTCCTTTTTGTTTACTATCGGGTATCTGCATACTTCTGCATATCGGGTAGATATTCCTACGTAAGTTAACAGCATTTTGCATTGGCACGCAAAGTTCTCAGTGAATGCCACCTGTTAGCATGTTGTTCAGCAGGAAATTACCGCCGTCAGTAAACTGATCGTAGTGGGTTCACCGTTAATTTGACTTTTGTCTATATGACTCCTCATCTTCATTTACATAAAGGAACTTTTCACAAACACCACGCCCTTTGCACAGATGTATCTCACGTGACGTTGGTGGTAGACATTACTCATAGGTAGCGCTATTTAGCCTACATATTTTGATATACCGGAACACAATGCATAAAAGATCTACTTTATGCAAACAGAAAGTGGTACTGCACGAATCAGAGCGAATCTTTGAAGTGAACTGAATCAAACGAACTGTGTCCAAACAGTTTTTTCGCTCAGTACTAGAAGACCGCTGTAGTTAAGCAGTGCACACATGCGCAGTGCTCGCCTCACGGGGTGAAAGTGGGAGGGGGTTGGCTGTAGTTTGGCAGCGCACGCATGCGCCGTACTCTCATCACCAGGGTACCAGCGGGAGGGGGTTTGCTGTAGTTTGGCAACGCGCGGCTGTACGGTGCGCGTTTCACCGAGGTGCAGATAGCAGAAGGACCGTCACGCTGTGTGATCGCTGCGTACCGGCGGCTTATGTTCACCTTTAAACGAAGACATCAAGGTCCTCTGCGACAGGTAAAGCAAGGCAGAGAAACCACACGGCGCGTTTTCCATCATTTCCGCCTGTATGTCATTCGACGGTTTTCGAGACAAGTACGAATAAGTGTATTATAAGACCAGTTTCATTCTGTAAAAGTAAAGCAGAGTTTCATTGTTTCTAAGGACTATAACGACTAGCTGCGTTTCTCTGCAGCTGTATTTCTTGACGCTTATCAAGTGTGTAAATGAGCAGCACCGTTAGTTTATTTTTAGAAGCTCTGGGAGTTTCTTCTCCGTCATTTAAACTTATTCATTTTGAGATATTATATAGTGATTTTGTTCAGTCATCTGCATTGTTCATTGAAGTTTATTATTGTTTCCTTTTTTCTCAAGTGTGCTGGACGGTTTATTAAATTATAGTTACAACAAACTCGCCTATCTATACATTATTAAGATTCCTCTTAACTCCTGTACAACAGCAAAGCAGAGATTGCCTTTAAAAAGACTGGTATACAGTTAATCGGAAGGAAATAGGTTTTTCGATATATGTTAGTATATATGACGGAAAGCTGCTGACGCAGGAGCCCTGTGCCGTGCCGCGCTTCGCCACACCGCACCGGCGTTTTACCGGTTCGGCCTTTCTTATTGTCCTGTTAGAGAATCCAGCGCTGTGTTGAAAGAACTCACTTGCCATGTGTTTAAATTGATGAACATCCCCACTTCCATTGAACAGTTTGCATTATTTTGTGTTCATGTAATCAATAAACGGCAGCATTGCTCGTAGTCGACAAGTAAGTGAATCCTCATAATCTATAATTCATTATGTTCGCTCATTCACTCTGGGATAGGACCATGATGCCATCATGTAACAGGATTTTACCCCCGATGTGCAGTAGCATGCATCGACCACCGGCCGTTTGTTTTACTATAGTAAGGATTTAGTTATTCACGCTTTTGATTAGCAACGCAAATTTTATATTTCATTCCAAAATTATAAAGTGGACTGAAACTTTAATTTCCTTCTTATCATTTATTGGCTGTTTTTAGCTTGAAGTGCTTTGTCTCTGTACTGCTGCTGAGAATTTCCACTGCCCTGAACGCTTACCACTAATCTGTGATCTAAGGTGCTTGGGAGTCAGGTGACACTATAATTTACACTGCACCCACGCTACTGTAAAGAGGCATATTTCTTTCATTTGCATCTCTATCCATTACTTTGTTATTACCAATTTATTACCCATGTTTACAAAACGTTTTACATTTTTTAGTAGTTTTAAATGGTTTATTATTTCATCTTCCCATTTTTCACAGGATAAGAAAAAGAAAAATCTGTGAACATGGACAGAATAACACACTTCATAAATGACACTGTAGAATTCTACCAGTGGAGTCTTACCATTGCAGGTATGTTTTTCCTTCTCAGTCATAAATATAAATGTTCACTTTTAAGTATAAACATTGGCCTGACATAGGCTTTCCAACACCTATAGTGTAACACAGGGTGCCATTCAGGGTTAGGTTTAACTGTCTCACTTTAGATTCCAGGATTGGACCCCTGGCAAGGTTAGGTGTCTTGGTGTCACTGTGGATTCCTGGACGGGATCCCTAGCAGAGTTAGGCTCCTCTGTGTCACTGTAGATTGCAGGACAGGATCCCCGGCAGGATTAGGTTTCTCTGTGTCACTGTAGATTCCAGTACTGGATCCCTGGCAGGGTTAGGTGTAACTGTGTCACTGTAGATTCCAGGAAGGGACTCCTGACAGAGTTAGGTCTCACTGTGTCATTGTAGATTCCAGGACAGGATCCCTGGCAAGGTTAGGTTTCTCTGTAGATTCCATGACCTTGACTTTTGATAATGGAGATGTTCCTGGCCCCAGCTCAATGTTTGCAAGGTTTCTTTGGGGTACTTTGGCTTCCTCCTGATAGACTGATAGACTTCTTCACATGCTTAGAGGTTTCTCATTGTGATTCTGCTGTCCATGTGTCATGTAGATAAGCGTGTGGAGAAATGGCCTTTGATGGAGTCACCCCTCCCCACATTGGCCATCAGCTCCCTCTATTTGCTCTTCCTCTGGCTGGGACCCAAGTTCATGCAGCACCGGGAGCCTTTCCAGCTGAGGAAGACACTCATTTTCTACAACTTCAGTATGGTTGTGCTCAACTTCTACATTTGCAAAGAGGTTGGCAATGTTGACGTTTAAGGTTGATTTTAGTTGACATACTCGTGATAACTAAAAAAATCTGTTAATTTTTTTTCTTCAGCCATTTCTAGAACAAATATCACACCTGATTTTTTTGACAAAGTGATTTAACATGATAAACCCAATTTTGAATACTCATACAATCTTATGTGCATCAATGTGTTAGATACAACCATTTTAAGACTCTGGCATAATAATTATGGTGTCCATCTTGTTTGTTTTCATGGCTTAGAAATAAATTGTTTCTTGTGTTTATAGCTTTTCCTTGGCTCACGAGCAGCTGGGTACAGCTACCGCTGCCAACCAGTCAACTACTCAAATGACATGAATGAAGTGAGGGTGAGTGGTTTGGCGCCATTGTAGACTGAACTTTTAACTGAGCACACTCCCGAACTGCAGCTAGAGACATATACGTGACAGGTGTGGACATGCACTAGGATTTAATATTCACATGAAAACACTCAGAAGAACAGGGCAGTACATTCTGAATGTAGTAACCCTTCATTTTGTAATTGCAGGGTGGGATTGATGGGTATGTAAATGTGATCTAATTTATTAGTGTTTAGTATGCATTACAGTTAGGTTTATGTCAGACTCAGTGTTAATGCTGTATGTTTATGTACAACTACAAGACTGAATGAAAAGTAAAATGTCAGCACAGCAGGTGGTCTGGTGATTACAGACATGGAATTAGGACATAAGAGGTGAATCCAAGTAGGGGAAGGAACTTGATCAAGCTACTTAACGTAAATTGCCCTAATACACACCCATCTGTACAGACGGGTAAGGAAGTGTTTCCCTAACAACTCAATTTGTAATGTCAAGTTCGCATGTCAGGCAATTGGGCAAAGCGAGTGTCATTATGTCGGTAACACTTTACTTGAGGGGGCACAAATACTGTAGTAGTACACTCTTACTTAATGTATTAATTAACCAGAAAATGTTACATGCGTATTAATCAATCATAATGGTATTTCATGTAGTTACTATATTTGTTCATGATTTGTACTTCTGTAGTAACTGAGTTACTACTAAGCTACTTGTGCCTCCTCAGGTAAAGTGATACTATGTTGTCTGTGACAGAAGGTCCTGATCCCGTCATCCACAGCTTCTGCTACTAAACCTAAAATGAAGCCGCTTGATAACTTATTTCTCTAAACCCATGCACTGGGATAAAATGAAGGGCCTTCCACTTCAGAAGTATATTAATTTCCAGACTTTTGGGAGGGTAATGAAATAATGTGTTATCTGTCATTGGAATTCTTTAATTTTCATATCCCTTCATGCTCTCCTTTTGAAAAATGCACATGCACACACACACGCACACACACACACACACACACACAGAGGTGTGAGAGCAATGCTTGGTATCGGAGCGCAGAGTCAACATTTTGGGGGGGGGGGGGTCTTGCTCAAGAGCCCAGGGGAAATGAGGCTATTTTGCAGAGGACCGGATTCAAACCAGTGACGTCCAAGTGGAGACTGAAAGCCCTACCCCGCTACCCCCCTACCCCGCTACCATGCTGACTGGCTGTGTCCACAATCAGGCATGTAATATAATAACAGATACTTCATTGATCCATGTGGGGAAATTCTCTTTTTGCCTCCCCCAACTTGCTCTTTGTAGATGAGAGCAAGCTGTCCATAACAGCACCCAGGGAGCTGGGGGTTAAAGGCCTTGCTCAAGGACCCACAGATGTGCCAAGGCCTGGCTTGAACCGGTGACCTTCTGATCACGAGCACAGAGGCTTAGCCCATTGAGCCACATGCTGTACACTCAAAAACAGAGGCAAACCTGTGAGTCTCAGTGCAGGTGAGGTCGTGAAGACAGGAAGTCCTGACACAGAGACTCACCCCCTGACAAGGAGAAGCACCATGACTTAGGGTCACATATGTCAGGAGATGCTCACAAACTGACATACAGTTGTCTCCTTTTCTCCATGACAGATAGCATCAGCACTGTGGTGGTACTACATCTCCAAAGGTGTGGAATACCTGGACACAGTCTTCTTCATCCTGCGTAAGAAATTCAACCAAGTCAGCTTTCTGCACGTGTACCATCACTGTACCATGTTCCTGCTCTGGTGGATCGGCATCAAGTGGGTGGCAGGGGGGCAGTGTGAGTACCGCCGCATCTCCCTGAGGTACAGCAGGAATACTGATCTAGTCCAGACTCCACCCCCCCCCCCCCGTAGCCTGCTCACAGACTCCACCCCCCACCTCCCGTAGCCTGCTCACAGACTCCACCCCCCCACGGCATTGTCATAGACTCCACCCCCCCACGGCCTGCTCACAGACTCCACCCCCCCGTAGCCTGCTCACAGACTCATGTTTCCTCCCACAGCTCTCTTTGGGGCACACATTAACGCAGCCATTCACGTCCTCATGTACTTGTACTATGGCCTGGCTGCTTTCGGACCCAAGATCCAGAAGTTCCTGTGGTGGAAAAAGTACCTGACCATCGTCCAGATGGTAAATGTGTTTGCTGCACCACTGTGCACCATATTGTTCCGTTACTACTTTGTCAGGAAAACACGTTTTCATTGTCTTTTACTAGGAGAGTGTTTTTTGAAGTAAATATACTATTATGAAGAATGGGGTGAATCTTTGTAGTAGCACAGAATTCATTTTTAAATTTTGATATTTAAATTTGCCTGATAGCCTGGTTTGGTTTTGGAGCAAATGAAATGAGATTTTCAGATTTTTTCAGATGTCATCCATGAGAAATCATTAGTGCCCCCTAATGTCCCTTCAGGTCCAGTTCCACGTTACAATCGGACACGCTGCCCACTCCCTCTATATCGGCTGCAACTTCCCCCACTGGATGCACTGGGCCCTGATTGGTTATGCCATCACCTTCATCATCCTCTTCGCTAACTTCTATTATCAAACATACCGGCGGCACCAGCCTTGTCGGGAAGCTTCCCCAAGGGGCACCAAGGCCGTCGCCAATGGTGTCTCTATGACAACCAACGGGCTGCACAAGATGGAGGTGATGAAGAATGGGAGGAAGCTGAAGAAAGGGAAACCAAAGCATGAGTAAAATGAGCAGGATTGGAGAGGCCTAGATTTGGAGACCAGATGGACGGTAGCATTGTGAGAAGAGAGGATGTGGACGAATGTGGTCAGGGGCCCCACCTCTGCTGGCCCTACATGGAAATGTAACACTTTGTGGATGGATGGATTAGTATTGTCTTGGGGGAACGTACTTCTAACACCAGTGTCATAGAAACAATACAGGGGTCATTCTGATGAGGGGTCCTCCCTCTTTATGGTAGCGTAAGGCCCGAGTCCAGGAGATGTTCAGCAGAGTTGGGGAATGACCACTGCGTTCCTCTGCCTCTTTTCCGTATCTCCACAACCCTCTGGGCTCGGATCTTCTCTCAGGCTTTTACATGTTTGGATCTCATGAATCAGTCGGTGATGGTTTCAGGGGGTCTCACCTTAATGGTCATGTGAGAATCGGCACACCGGTTAGGCACGTGCTCTGCTGTGTGTGTGTGAGCACAAGTTCACAGCTCAGCTGTGTCATGGTTAGAAAGGATAAACACTGTCACCTACCTGCAAACCAAAACTATTTAAGTATGACACTCATTGGCCTCTGGCAAGCAAGGTAATGTCAGTTAACCGCATGAAATTTATAAATAAATTGTGTGACTATGTTGATCTGCAACCTCCTTCTACTCCTATGCTTGGTTTTTTTTTGACAAACCACATCTTTTCAGGTTTTGCATTCAGTTAACATCATGAACTCTAGCCAACATACATTAGATGTATTTTTAAATATTTGTTTAGATATTCTGGATGAACATTAAATGGAACAACAGTTAATTGCCCCACAATTATTTACACTTGGAAAAAGAATCTCTTTACCACTAAAATCCTTCTTGCAAATTGTCAACAAATGCTTATACAGTGGATCCCATGACATTTATTGCATTGAAAAATAACCACTGTTACAATAATGAACATGTAACTTCAAAGCTGTAGTTGTCATTGACAGCTTTTTTGTTACTCATTTTATGCTTTATTTTAATGGGAATTTAAACTTCATGCAGCAGCAAAATACAAAGACCATCACATCCCTTATTGTATATTTACAAGACAAAGATTTTACTTAACTCATGACATATATTTTATGCTGCAGATTCAGTAAAAACACCAAAATGCAAAATGCTGTTATTGATTCTCATTGCTTGCATGCTGTAGGTGGGTCAGAGACTTAAGAAGCAGAGTGTAAGATGGAGCCACACGGTGCTGGAGCCCCTAACCCCAGAAGTCACAGTCCCACCCAGCCACATGTATCACTGACCATTTCAGTACAGGTTTCACATGGTTAACCGGGTTAGACTGGGGTTCAGGTTAGTCACGCTGCTACTACGATAAACCATTTTTAGGGAGTGTCTGACGACTACATCAGCTAGGAACCCTATCTTTAGTGACTGCCCCCACATCTCCTTATCCATCCAACCTCCTTATAAAATTAACATTTTATGTGCAAGACATACATGACAATCGAAATGCCGTTTCTCGCTCACTGGTGCGCGTACCCTCCAATTACAAAATTATAGACATTCAATACAAAAAAAACATAAGACACAGGACAAACTGACAAGGCCAGAGACTTATTGACAAAGTGCAAATGGTAAGAATAGAAGAGGCGGTTGTGCAAAGGGTAATAATAGTTAAGGTAAGAAAGAGAGAGGGGCCCGGCAGTTAGCAGCCATGTTCAAGGACTGAACGGTGAAGTCACACTACTGACCATGGGATTTAAACCAACAACTTTCACAAGCACAGTGTCCTGCTGAGCCACACACTGCCCTACAAATAGATTTTCCCTGAGCTCAGTACCAAATTGGCTTTCTTTCTAAGGACGCTTATGCTCACGGCACCAGCAGTTTACCTGGGTATTCAGGTCACCAAATAGGAGAGCGTAATCTTTGATCCTATTCCACATACGAGGTCTTGCTCTGTGAAATGCAGGGTCACTGAGGTGAAGATCCTGTGACAGCTGTCAGTCCAAGTCCCACCCTTACAGCAAACTTCCTAGGGATAAAACAACAATTCCTTTGAATTCTGCATCTTCCGAACTCTGTGTTCAAACCCCAAGCTTTCAAATGAGAATAAGATGGGATATGTGAAAAATCAAAGACTTCCAATGTATCTGTACTTGTACTTGCCCAAATAAAGGATAATTTCTTGTCAAACACAGCCTGCCTCACTAACACTAGTCTGCCCCTCACCCAAATGTTGTTCTGTGTCAGTCTAAACACTCTTCACCCCCTCACCCTGCTCACTAACTCCAGTACACCCTCTCTGCGCTATATTCTCTCTTCTTTATCCTTTGACTGATTCTCTTCCTTGCAGTAACCCTGTAATATCCAGATGGACCCTCTGACTATTTTCAGGGTTCTAGTGATATACTGGACACATCTCTGAAGTGACCAATAGTCATAAATTTCTCACACATTTCTCAAATGACATCATTTGCAAAACAAGTGTAAATCCACACCATCATGTGACTAGTGCACAGCAGAACATCATTTCTAATTTTCACACAAATTTCCAAGTGCTTCAGTACATGCATGCAAACGGTCGTGTGCAATTGTCATCATTTGGCACAATTTATGTTGCTTTAGTCTTGGTGGTCAAAATGGATTATGTAGTTTCCCATTCTAATAATTTTAGACCCAAAACTGTACATGTACATGATTATCGTGTAAGCCTCAACATGCAAAAAAAGTTCAAACTTTCAGAATGATTCAAAAATAAATTCCATATATTGCAGTGATACAACACTTGTATTTTTGGTTTTGGTGACTTTTTTTCCTGTTGTTCTGTGTCTTGAGATCTTTACATACTGTAATGTAGAGCCTTGCAACATTGAAACTGATATCTTTGACAAAAGTATCAGTTGCTAAAGAAGAATGATCAGTCAGTGACAATGAGTAAGTGGAAAATGACTATCATTGCATCACAGAAATGGACTCTGAGGAACATTTCTGTACTATTGATGGTTCATTAATGCTGTTTGTACCTTTGGGATGTTCCATGAGTTCATTTCTGTACCTTAAAAGGTACAATTACAAGGGCACAGCCCCAGTGACAAGGTACAATTTTTTACCCTTTTTTCTAAAAATGTAGGTTGTAAGAATATTAAGTATGTTTCATGAAATGTGCCAAAGCAATTGAGAAAAACGAATGTGGGATGCATCAATGTATAAACACAAGAGTCATCCTGTTGCCATCGTGTACTTTGATGGTGTCCATGTTGATGTGATGATACAGAGGATGTCTGTGGCACATAGGCACTGACCTTTTCCTTAGTAATATGAGTGCAGCCTTCGAGGGGTTAACCATCATTGTCAATTAGTGCGTCAGTAGAACTGGGAGTCAAATGCAGAACAACCTTGTTCATCACAGCAGCTTCATATAAAATGCATTTAATCAAAAGCAGGTAATGAAATACATGAAATGCAACCATTTATTTATATTCATTTAAAAATTACTTATAAATACCACTGTTGATAGCTGAAGGGTTTTGGACAGAATAATTGGAGATGCCAAAAATGAACCAAATACATAAACTGAACCCTGCAGCATGTGAGGATTTCGATGATATGAAATTGGCAGACTACCACTTTGATTCACAATGAATAAAAAGTTTCAACCAAGGTAGCAAAGCATGCAGTCAGTCAGCTTTAAGGTCCAATGAAAAAGGCTGGTCCTGCTAACTTGCTAGCTCACACAACCCACCACAGCCATTCAAACACATCCTAATTAGATTAGAAACCAAAAACTAGTTAGCATGTAAAACAGCTTGTGATAAAAAAAAGGATAGAATACAAATTGCTCTAGTAATATTTCATAAATATATATGTACACTTAAACACATCAAAACTATAATTAAATGAAATACGTCGTGCTTTCATATTATGAAAATATAACATTTGTGAAACATGCACACACAACCTCTGAATTGTCAGTCTACAAAAAACAAATGGTGCATTGCTGTGACGACCCAAAGTGTGTAATCTTTTCCAGTATCCAAATGTGTAAGACCAGGTGGTTTAGGGGACCAACACTATCTCAGTGTTAATTAGTTTTCAGTGAATGCATGTGGAATCACCTCTAACTGACTGCCATCACACTGCACAGGCTAACCCCAATAATTCCATGTTTTCCTATGTTCCTGCATGAAGACCAGGTGGCTCAACAACAGAGTTTGTTTCATCTGAGGTGGCTGACAGTTGGTCTTCTGTATATTGGCCAGGATTATATTTTGGAGTTTCAGGATCCTTTCATTAAGAGTTCTTCATCATGTTTACGCTGGTCCTCAGCCAGTGTCCACTTCGTAATGTTCCAGCAATACGATGAGAATGTTTGTGGACTGGGAATCATGGGCCATTTCTCCTGTGCTGGGTTCTTCAGAGGCACCATAGCACTAAAGCAGATTACAGCAGTGCTCAGTGCATGGTGGTCTGGGGACGGGTGAATGTGTGGATCCATGCTCGATGTTAAAAATAAAAAAAAATAAAATAAATAAACCTTCTGAATGAAGTTCCAGGACAGGACGTTGGCCGTTAGCTGGAAAAAGAGAAACCAGGCTTAAAATCATTTCCAACAAATTTAGGAGTTCATATTCACACTCAAACAAAGATATGAATACACACACCAAGTACCACCTCTCACCCTTCAAAGAGCAAACACTAGTTCCTACTCATGACATAACTGACACATAGTATGTGCACTAGACAAAACAAGGTCCAGCTTAGGATTGGGTTAGTTTTAAAAAACACAATGACCCAAGATCAACAACCAACAACTGAATATGAGTAAAATATACAGTCATATACACACTTGCTTGTCTTGAGATGTGAAATAACTGCAGAATTTGATACAAGTACCGCCGGAACCAAAATGCAGGATCACGAGTTGTGGCATTTGGTAGCAAACTTTGCAGAAACTCATCCTATCGAATCACAGCACTCCATCCGAGTGGTTCCTGAAGACCAGAGTTTCTCAATCTAGTCCTCATGGACTTAGATGGTCCACATTTTTGCTCCCTACCAGTTCCCAACACCTGTAGCCCGTATTCAGTGCTCTTGATTGATAGGTTCAGCTGGATGCTGGAAGGGGGCAAAAATGTGGAATGTCTGTGGCCCCCCCAGGACTGGGCTGAAAAACACTCCTGTAGACTAATCAAGTCAGCTGACGGACAGGTCCAAACTTGATTCTCATAACTTATGAGACACCTGGAAACTTTTCTATGGATCAGCAAATGTATCAATTCATGAGTTGCATGTGGTATTTCATGCACCAATTAGTTTCATCTGTAGAATGAATCTGTTAGTAACAGCAACATTTGACACACAGGTCACCAGCACACGCTCATCATCAGTAAGTACAGCAAATCTTTTTCTTTGTTGCAGAGGTTATTTTGTTGGCCTAAAAGTTTATCCTGAACAAGAATATCATGCTTCTTGAGCAGGAGCAACCCATAGCTTTCAATCACCCTGCACCTTATTGTGTCTTCAGAAATCAAACATAGAGTCATCATCAACATCATCCAAAGACCAGTTCCAGTCCTTCAGCTCAAAATCAAGTAATCTGCAAGAGGAGAAGGGTTCACCTGTGTTACCGAAACGGCTAACGGCTGCTGTGCTGGGGGCAGCGGCCATAAAGCAGTGAACTTGACAAAAACTGCTAATGTACTCCACTGAGTGTCTTTGCCTCTCAATTCTCCAGCAATTTAACAGGGTAGCAATTTACATAAATATGGCAAAACATTACAAAAAGCAGAAACATTACTGTGTAATGACAGAGTAAGGCTGGTGCCAGGGGCCACGTGGTTCTTTCTACTGGCATATTAACACAGCAGAACAGGGTCTGTGAACTGCAATCCGTGCTGGTCAGAGAAATGTATGGCTGGGTCATACAGACTACAGCTGGGCCCAGGAAGCAGAACTACTATAGGAAAAATTAAAAAATATAAGACGGATAACTGTTGAAAGACTAGTATTGACAAAAATTGACAGCTTTTAAACAAGGATGAAAAGTCCAAAAAAAGTATCTTAGTGTAGAACTGAACAAATTAGGCCAGGGCTGCTCATGGCTACTCGTTCCTGCTTCTGGAGATCCACCACCCTGCAGATCTTAGGTACAGCCCCAATTTAACACACCTGATATGGATAATTAGGTCCTTCAGTAACATCTCAGCTATGTTAACAGGAGCCAATTATCTGCACTGGGTGTGTTAAATTAGTGCTGCACTTAGATCTCCAGGAGCAGGATTGAGCAGCCCTGAATTAGACTACGCCCAGGAATACTCCCACATTTTCTTCTAATGTATCAGGGTGGAATGAACTGCTGAACCATATCCATCCATCAGATAACCCTCTCCATCTTCAAGAAATGCCTCAACACCCATCTACTCTAGGAATACCTCGTCTAGCCTAATACCAATCCTTGTTCACTAAATGTTTGTAAATGTTGCACTTTCTGTTGATTGATGAGTTCTCATTCGGTTCTTGCTTAGTTGGAAAGTGATGTGTAGCTCTTGCTTCAATACTGCTGGCACTGGTACCTGGGCATTCATTGTATGTATGTTTTATAATGTGCTATTTGCCTCATTTGTCTTTCGCTTTGGACAAAAGCATCTGCTAAATAAAACATAAACCAAGTGACAGTTCAGACCCTCATCCATTGTTGTTCTCACCTCGGCTTGCTGACAGGCGGCGACTGGCAATCTTGCCCTCTCACTCGAGCGCGTGGCGAGAGGCGCGGCGAGAGGCGGGGCGAGAGGCGGGGCGATGGGTGGGGCGAGAGGCGTGGCGATGGGTGGGGCGAGAGACGGGGTGAGAGAAGGGGGGAGGGCCGGGTCGTGGGATCTGCTGCAGGTGGCTTCTTGGGAACCTTCTTGATAAGCTTGCTGATCCATTTCTGCTGCTCCTCCTGAGACGAGGCCAGCAAAAGCAGGTCCTTGGCCATCGACACGTCGTACTTGACTGAGGAAGAAAAGGGCGAATGAGCTAGGATGGAGGCTTACTTCTAAGGCTTCAAACTGCATAGGAGACCCAGCACAAACTCGGGGGGAAGAAAGGTTCCCTTATCCGTTTTTGACGCATCTCCAGACTAAGCAGATGTACATGTGAGGTACCTGTCCATCAGCTTCAGTGTCTACCACCACTCAAACCTCACCTTTGCGTGGGTCCTACGGTTACTACCTAATCCACGTCAGGGCGAACACTCTGAACTATTTAGGTTTTAAAAACAACTTTAAAACTCAAAGGCTCGTATACTTGGCTAAATTGTTCAGTTCTTTTTGCGCTTTGGCTGGTTTGTTTCCTTGATTGAAAGACTCATCCAACTGTTTCACAATAACATTAGTGACACATGCATAATTACAGCAGACTGACCTATCAGCACACAGCAAGAACTCGGTGCTTAAAGTGAAATTCAGGTCCTTCTGACTGAAACGGTAAATTCTGTCCGAGCTGACATAAATTAGGTGGCAAACCTAGTGGGGCTCCCAAGGTTTGGTCAGATGGTGCCAGGGCACTACATATTAAATAAACATGTTCCTTATTTAGGAGATTCTGAAGCTGCATGTTGGGCTAACCAACTAGCCAGCTATAACCTTCTGACTATTCGCCAGTTTTCATTTTGTTTTTGGAACATCTAAGGGGGAAACAACACAGCAATCCCTGCTCTTCATCACAGGAACTTTGACATGGGCAGAGTTCTTCTCACACTACATGAGGGTGCATCCACACTCCACCCTCAGACCAACCTCGACAGGGTGCCATGACCTCCTCTTGTCGGTCCAGGTGGTCTTTGTGGCACTTTGCATGACAGCGGCGACATTCCAGTGCCGGTGGAGGCTTGAAGACGTGCCACAGGGGACGGGTGCAGGCCTCGCAGCTGGAGGGGAAGTGGTACCATGTGGGGACAAACTCATGTCCCTTGTAGCAGATGTAGCTGGATTGGTCTCCCACCGGAAGCTGCTCCACAGTGAGATCCTGATCCTTTTTGAACTCCCCTTCATTTGCATAGAGAATCTGCAGTATTAGCAGGCAAAACCAAAAACTGGTTAAACAACTGGACTCAAACTTATTTATTCTTCTTTTATAAAACCTTCTACTAGAGGTGGATTTCTGGTCCAGAGAGTAAAAGTCCAGAGCAAGATTTGGTTTCTATCAACCAGTTGAGTACTCTACGACTGACTCTTTATACTCAATTGGTTGGTTGAAAAAAATATTGGTCTGGATTATTACTTTCTGGAGCTGAAATATCCCCCTCTGTTAATCAGGGATGCACGATATATAGGTTTATATATCGGTATCAACTAATGTTTGCTGAAAATCAAGACATCGGCATTGGTCCAACGTGTCAATATCACTTGATATTACCGGACAACATTTAGAATTTAGGCAACTCAAAATTAACAGCAAGTGACTCAGAGGATCGACAGTTACTGATATTGGTAATATTATGTAAAAATAGGTTGATTATCAATATCAGGTCACCACTACTACTGAGTAATACAAGGGCAGTAAAAAAACAGCACTGTCTCCCTGAATCAAACACATGTAGAAGTGTTCTCACAAATGCCCAAATTGTTGTGTCACCTGAAATATACGGGGAATATCTCTGGCATCCGCACGGTACACATCTGTTTGGGTCACTGGCCGCACATGGAACAATTTACTGTAGAGTTACAAAAAAGGGATAAGTAGAACAGTAAATATACCGCATTAGTTAACACTCACCATACACAATGGGTGCAAGATCATTTTTTGCTGTTCATTACATACAAGTGAAGCTCAGACACCAGGGCCAGACTATGGGGATGTTATTGTAGCAAAATTATTTGCAAATATGTATGGAGAGTTGTGTGACTGTATCTCAGTCCGTGTGTTCGTATTCAGATTTGTAATTGTGTAAAAATTTGTAAATGCGTACTGAAATTTGCAAATGTGTACAGAAATCTGTAAATTTGTATTCAGAATCCGTGTGCGTAATGAGATTTGCAAGTGTACTGAGATTTGTATGTGTGTAGACAAATCTGTAAATGCATGCATAGATCTGTGAATGTGTACAGGGGTATTAAAGGCTAAAAAGTCTAAGTATTTTGCTCCACGGGTAGTAAATGCAGACATCATTAGTTACAACTCCTGGCTGTCTTTTTTCACGTGGTTTTTGCTACACTTCTGCCGTGACAGATCTGCAAATGCATGTGGAGATTTGCCCGTGTGTGGAGGGTTGAGGGCTTGGGGCTTCACACTGTCCCATTCCCAAGCTTTTGAGGGCTTACGCGTGAAATGTCATCAGCGTATAAACCGTGAGACAGAGTCTCTCTCCACAGATTTTCTTCCCCCCTCTGTCCCCCTACCCATAAAAACATATCAGTTTATAGTCAAATGACTATATGATCTCATGTCCCGGCATAAGACAGACATACTCTATGTCCAGAATCATCCAGGGGTTGGACTTTTCTTTGTCCTGCTCACTGTCGTAGAACAGAATCTTCTTACTGCTGACTACCACATACTGCAGGAGCGACATGAAACACACATTAGTTGACAGTCAAGGTCATCCAGCCCCAGAAGCATAATCCACCACAGCACTTAAAGGTTAGTGCCGTCAGTGTGTACAAGTTGCCCCTGGTGTGGGACTGTGCATGTATCTGTGCGCTACATTGTGCTTCCTGGGACAGGCTTCAGACCCAGCAAGACGCTGTACTGGATAACCAGTATGGAGGATGCATGGGTAGGTTTGGGCTTTTCATGCCACATGACATGAAGATCTAGGCCTGGCTTGGGATTCTGGCCCGGTCTGTAGAAGCGGACCAGCACGTCGATGACTTCATACCTTCCTCTCCCATCCGAAGCGCTTGATGTGGTTCTTCACTGGAAGAGAGAGCCATCCCTCTAGGCGAGACTCTCCTGGGGAACAGGGACAAAGTGAGAGACAGGAAGAAGGGGTAGGATTCCCATTTAATCTGATCGCACATTCCAGTTAAACTGAACACCATACAAAAAAAGTTAACAATTAATTGTAATACAAAGTAAAAGAAATTTGTTTAGGGGGGAATGTTGTTACAACATCAATTTTCAGGGGGTTTTTTTCTTTGCAGGACATTTTTAAAAATTGCCACCAATTCACAGCAAAGCCAATATGCAAGTCTAAACATTCATGGCACCAGCGGTTAGAGCAGTGTTTCCCAATGCAGTCCTTGGGAGCCCACAGTTGGTCCATGTTTTCGTTCCTTCCCAGCTCCCTTCCAGACAGTCCACGTGTTTGCTCCTTTCCAGCTCCCGGTAAAAGCAAAAACATGGACTGTGTGTGGGTCCCCGAGGATCGGATTGGGAAACACTGGTTTTGCGCAAAACCCATCACCCTCACTGCCAGAAACTGCACTCGGGCATCACTCTTTTAGTTCGATGTGGCGGCTCAGAGCGGCCATGCAGATCACCTGCACTGGCAGGCTCTGGCTGCTTGAAAGCCAGGGCCCGAGGAGGCCTGTCAGCTTCCTCCTCCTCCTCCTCCTCCACATTGCCTTCAGGGCTAGAAAGCATCCGAGCTCTGAGGCATGGTCTGGTGTCAATGCAGACAGACTTAGAGCTACGTTGGTACGTGTAGCACATGGACTCAGAGGTTTGAGAGTGAGTGATGCGCACTGGGGCACAGGGAAAAGGTGGGAAAAAAAGAGAGAAAGTGTGACAGAAAGATGAGAAGAAAAGGTGAATTAACTGGAATACACTGAGTGGCTGATGAGTCAGCTGGGTGGATTCACTTAAGAGCGGGAAAGATCACTATTGGCTCTTAGACAGCAGATATAAAGTGCAGGAAGAGAGGTGCGAGTAGGGACTAGGCTCGGAATGGGATCAAGGTCACGCGTCACCCTGGACAAACTGCCAGAGACGCTGGTCTACCTGGATAGGCGTCGTCAGATTCCAGGTCGGGCCCACTGCTCACGCTCATGGAGTCCAGAGAATGGACACTGAGCGTGGAGATCTGACAGCGTAGCTGCTCAATGTCGCTGTCCTTACTGTCCACGGCCATCTGCAGCTCCAGCCGCAGCTGGCTCTCGTCTGCAATCACCTGGCGGCGATCAAAACACCACGTGGATCAACACTCAATAAAGCCCATATACAAGCCGACTGAATCACTCTGTGTGACACTATTGTTCTTTCTAACTGAAGATACATAGTAGGTAGTGAGCAGGGCAGGAAGTGCATGGATGCTTGACTGACTGCTTGCATGTCGCTGATCTCCTTCTGGTACTTGATGATGGCGTCGTTGAACTTCTCGCGCTCTGTCTTTAGCGCCTGCTGCAGCTTCCTGTTGTCCTTCTCTATCCGGCGTATGTCCATGTCATTGATTCGATGGCCACTCTGCACCTCCTTCCGGTTCATTATTTCTGCCAGCTTGTTCACCGCCTGAAAATGGCCAGATGAAATGGTCAGCGTGGAGCTCAGCATTCTCCAGTAACGTACATAATTTTACACTCTCTTCTCCTCTGATTCCATCAAGCTGCTCATTACTTACTGGATCTTACGAATTTCTACTGATTCCCAGCCTGATAAACACCACACTGGCCTTCACTTGGGAGGATCTAGTATTACAACTGCATAGATACTTCGTGTGGCTCACCTGGGTCTTGAGGGTCCTCTCTGACCGTAGCTGCTTCTCATAAACAATCTTCACTGCACTAAACTGGCGCTCTCCTTCCCTGACCATCTGAAGCTCTGTGTGAGAGTAAGGGAGGAACCAAGCCAAAAAGTACAACACTAAGCAGTAATAAAACCTTCATAGCTCCCAGAATGACCAGAATAAATTCTAAGAATGACAATAAAATGTACTAAAAATCCACGTTGTGCAATCCAAATATTCAAAGGGCTGTGCTGAAGCATGGGATGCAGCACTGATGTCCAGGAAGGTACCAGAGACACTTACGCTCTTGAGTTTCCTTCAGTTTATCATTGAGCTCCTCCTTCTCATTGGCCAGCTTCGCCACGTCGTTTGTCAGCGTGCGATTCGCTTCCTCCAGCTACAAAAAGACTGAACCTCAGTGACACAACATCTACCAGATGAGCGCCGATCCCACGAAATCCCCGTCAGTCCGCGACATCCCACATGCAAACCTCATTCTACTCAAGGTGCAGTTTCCAAACTACAAGTTTTCATTTTTCTCCAATGCAAATTTGCCATTTAAAGAGTATAACATACATACATACATACATACATTACATACATTACATACATAAAGCCTATAAAACGCTTTTACCATTTCTCTTATTTGAAATTTTTGATCTCAACACTGCGAGCTCCGGTTGAAAAAGGGCTGTTACATATAGATTTCCTGTTGCACTACAGACATCATGAGAAGACAAGAAGCTGGATTTTACTATAGGTCCCCAGCTGACAACAATCAGAATTACTGCAACCCCACCATTTAACCCACCCTAGGACACACAAGATTGCTCCCGTTCTTGGCTGCTCTTGCCACAGACTAACCCAAATCCCATTGGAGGACTAACATTGCTTTGACTGGCGTTTCAAGGGGCAGGGCCCTTTTAGCACGTCAGAGGTTCTATTATTCACACTGAAATTGCTATAAACTGTTGATCAGATGTTTGGGGTTGAATCCAAACGCTGGTTCAGCTCACCGAGTTAATAGTTGCTTCTTTAGCTGCTAGTTCTTGCTTGTGTCGAGTCATCATCTCCTTGATCTCCAGCTCTTTGATGATCTTCTCCTTCTCCAGGTCTGAGTATTGCTCTTCTGCGATGGAACGTGCTAGATGCTCAGAGTCAACCTTTGTCAGGGTGATCTCCAGTTCAGCTGCTAGTGAATCCCTGGGAGAGGGTTGATGGGTAAATTGGGGCAGCTGTTTCTACGCATCACACACATGTGAGGTGCCCAACACTGAAGAATAGGTAGCATGCTCACCTCTCTTCCTGAAGCTCCAGCAGTCTCTCTTGTGCATCCTTGTGGAGTTTGATCTTCTCCTCAAGCTCCTCTTTCAGCTCATGCACCTGGGTCTTATACAGGGTCTGGGTAATGCAGATGGTCTCAATGTCAGCATCATTCTGAATATCACCTTCAGAAAATATTACATCTGAATTGTTTTGTTAAAATGAGACTTTACAGGAAAATGTGCGCAGTTAGAAAGAGGGTCTTTAAGTTACCGTGAAATACTGCTCAGACTCCACCTGCTCCTGCAGATCCTTCATCTGCATGTCGACGGTCTGTCGCTCCCTGAAAATACAGGGACTAGGTCAGTCGGACCGCGATCCGACATCTTGCAGTGCCTACCATGGCCAACGCGATCACACTCACTCTTGCAGCTCCTGGTTCTGCTTCTCCAAATTTTGCTTCACATCCAGCATATGGTTCAACTCCTGCTTCAACTGCTTCTGTGACGTACGCAAAGCGTTGACCTCCTGCTCCTGGGCCTTCAGGTCCTCCTGCATCTGGTGGAACTTCCGAGACTCCTGTTCCGCTTGCAGTTTCAGGTTATTCAGCTGGAGGGATGTAAACAGGGATCTAATGAACTGGAGAAATTGGACTTTCCATGGGTTCACCTCAGGCAGCTCTGTCCACGAGTTGCTCTATGCCCACAGCTCCTGCAGCACCTCTTCACTGAGCTCCTCCTTCTGTCTGCCCAGGTCCTCCAGCCTCTGCTGAGCCTGTCTGTAATCACAGTCCAGCATGGAGTTTTGCTTCTCGACAGCCAACAGCTTTTTCTCCACCTGCTGCTTTTCTTCCCGTTCCTCCTCGAGTTTCCGCTCCATCTCTGGTGAGAGAAAAAAATGGAGGAATGTAGTGTTATGATCCATGATCGTCATCACCATTATGGATTCCTGCTTAACAGACATCTGTTAAAAACAACAGTATGTAGGTGTTGTTGGGGAGGGGGGGGGGCCTGAGGAAAATCACAGTTTGTGGCAGGGGGTCACACAGGGGCCCTCAATTAACTTGGAGGGTCCACAGAAAAAAAAAGAAAATAAATCCCCGCTCAGTCAACTAATTCTCACGCGTCCTGCAGGATCCCCCCCCCCCCCATCTCCATGGGCTTTTTGATCTCCGCCCAGGTATTACGATGGGCAAAGCAGCTGAGACCCTGAGCTGATCAGCTGGGAGAAGGTTTCCAGTACAATCTGTCCCCCACAACTTCAAACCACCCCCCTCTTTGGAAGACCTCCTGCATACCCCCGGTACCCAAATGAGCACAGAACATAAAACATACGAACCTTAAAAAAAAAAAAACTGGCTCTAAAACCTCCTAGACCACCTGTGAAAGACCTTCCTGACCCTCTTCAGTTTGCTTAACAGGCCTAAGCTGGGAATGCTGTACTTACTCCACAGACCATACTCCTATCTAGGCGAGCCAGGCGACATACCGAGGACAATCTTCTCCAATACATCTAATACCATCTACTGGGTGAGAAGCTAAGAAGGATGCAGGTGGGCATAACCTTGATTGCCTAGATGATAGTATCTGCTTCAGCATATCTGATGGTATGGAGCAGGACACCGTTCCTCTCCACTCTCTAAACCACCAGACATCCAGTAAAACTCGGGGTTTATGTCACCACCAAACTGTGTGATGCAGTTAGTGGAAAGAGGAGGAACATGAGAGTCTGGAAGAGATCTTCATAGGATGGTGCAAGAAGAACCACCTATAGGTTTTCAAGTAGACTAAGGAATTAGTGGAGGACTTCAGGCAAACTAGTGAACTATCCAAGGGGAGACAGTGGAGTACCTTGGAGTCTACCTCAACACCAGACTAAACTGGAACAACAAAATCGATAGTCTACACAGGAAGTGCTCTGCTTGGTGCAACCCACTATCAGTAATGAGCTGAAGGGAGTCCCTGGATGCAATGCCCGTGCATCACAGTGCACACTTATAGAGACACCAGTTCACCCCATCACACCTCCACGCTGCAGCCTCCAGAGTACGCGATTGGCTCACCCTTCATGACCTCACACTTGGCCTCCTCCACAGACTCAGAAATCTTGTCGTTGTCAGCCAGCCGTGCTCGTGTGGCTTTGTGCTCAGCCTGTTCCTTTTCTAGAAGCTGTTGCAGGACCTTCATCTTGTAAGTTACGTCAATCTCCTGGCTGCTCTTCTCCTGGGGACACAGAAACATATTTAATTATACATCAATTGCCATAAAGAGCAGGTCCTCCACACTTGAAAGGGACAGGCCAACAAACAGGATGGAGTGGAGCACCAAAGGGCCGTCTTACCCTCTCCAGGTCAGCCAGCTTCTCCTGCAGCAGCCTTTTATCTACCTGCGTCTGGGCCAAGCTGCTTTTCATCAGCTTAGCTTCCTCTTCATGGCCAGAGATGCGCTCTAAGGAAAGGCAGCGCCAGAGATACACTTTGACACAACACAGACACAGCTGTTCCGACGCAAGTTAATCACTGATATAAGGATGAATAGAACTTTCCAACAAGAAGCAAGACCAGCTAGATGTCAAAGTAACTTAATATTTCCATTATAGGAAACAGACATTTTGAGATAATAGTATCTTACATACTACACAACTGAAGACAGCAAATCAAAGACGCCACATCAATGGATGGACATGAATACACTATATAGTCTTACTGATTTTTTCATCTTTTGCTGCTTGTCTGTGTTTTTTATTTTAGCAAGTCTAAAATCAAGATGAACTGTGTCATTTTAATTACCTTTAATAAGGTCTGGTTTAATAAGCTGTGGTGGTAATGTTTAAGTAAAAAACATTTTAAGAAAAAGTAATAAAAAAAACTCAGATGGTGTACACACCCTTTAGCAACACCCCCTTTTTACTTTCACTAAGCACCTTTTGTTGCAATTCTAGCAGTACATTAGAATAGTTCCCTATCAGATCTCTCTGTTCTATCCCACTCTGTTTTGCAAAAAAGCACATTGTAGGCGGCTATCTTTGGGCCAGTCCACAGCACATCATGAGGGGGTGTCTTTGGGCCAGTCCACAGCACATCATGAGGGGGTGTCTTTGGGCCAGTCCACAGCACATCATGAGGGGGTGTCTTTGGGCCAGTTCATAGCATATCATGAGGGGGTGTCTTTGGACCAGTCCACAGATGTTCTATAAGATTAAGATCTGGGCCACTCCATTATATTGACCTTCCTTTTTTGTTTTATGGCATGAGTGCTTCAGATAACTGTCATATTGAAAAGTCGAATTCTTCTTCCGAGAATCTCATTTCAGCCGTCTGAATTTCCTTTTTTGATATTTGAAGCTGTTCATTTCCCCCTCTGCCCAGAGCAGAGCCCAGGCTGTGCTACACAGATGCAATCCCACATCACGATGGTGCCATCATCGTGCTGCACAGCAGCCACTGTGCTCTGGGTGGAGGCCCACCTGGATCTCATCAGACCATGTGGATTTTCTCACATAGGTCTTGGGAGACTGAAGGAGTTTCACAGCAATTTTATGAGACTGAATGTTTATTTTTGCCCTCTTACTCTACCTCATAGCTCAAACCACAGAATATGAAAAATGGCTATAATATGCAAGGAAGAGTCAGTTTCTGCCAAATTCCTGTGAGTGTTTGAAAATGTGTGCTAGTTCCTTGGCAGCCTTTAAGGTTTCTCCTCCTCTGACCATCAGTTTTGGAGGGACGTCCTGATGGTGCCATGTTTCCTTTATGATGTCATGTGAAGTGTTCAATGATATATTGTATATATTGTATAATGTTCTTCCAAATACTTCTGTATCCCTTTGCCTTTCAGCAATAAGAACCTGTAGATTGTCAGCTGCTTCAGAACCACGATCGTAAACACTCAACAATTTTTTACTTAATATTATTGGTTATAATATATTAATAAAAGTGAAAAAAGACTCGCACGATCTCAATTTTTGTCTTGTCATCAACAAAAGCTGAAATTTCAATATGGTTGTGGAGACTTCTGTTATTAATTTTCAAGTAGAAAAGGGACTGAACTGACTCCATTATGGAAAGACAACAGATAATCTGTGTAATGACTACAGGAGGGAAAAAAAACACTTTCTGCGAGATCACTTTAGCATCCTGCCTAAATTACCAAACACAGTGCAAATCGGAGATCATCTTTATGGCCTAAATGAAGTGTCACATACCTTTTAGATCAGAAATCATCTGGTTGCCCTGGCTACAGGCTTTCCTCTCTGCCTCTAGGGTGTCCCGCAGATTGATCAGATCCTTCTCCAACTCAAGCTTGGTAGTTTCCAGCACGCTGATTTTGTTCTGCATCTCCTTCAGCGTTGTTTCCATCTGCTGGGCCTGCTTGGCTGTGTCTGCCTGACTCTTCTTCAGGCGTGAAGATTCATCTGCAGCTGTCCTCAGTGCTGTGTTAGCCATGTCCAGCTAGACGAGGAAGCAGCCAGTGTCAGCCATGAAAAACACAGACAAGCAGAAGCTGCGGGTGACACGTGTCAGCCGACGACAAAATGGAGTCTAAACCTTTGCTATAAGGTTGGGGCATGGTCACATTAAATAAGATCTACAAATACGTAGCCTCAGACAGTGGCTGCACAAAGCCACTAAGAACAAAAGACAACAAATCTGCAGTAAGAATTCATGCAGTGGCAGATGGACTCTGCTAAGGCAGCTAACCAAGGCAGCAGACTCCAGCAAGAGACCACATAGAGGCTAACAGAGGCAGCATGACCCAGGCAATTGTTCTCTGCCTTTTTTTCCTCACAAAATTTAACAGAATTACCTGCTTCTGTAGCTGAATCACCTTCTCTTCAGAGACCTGAACATCCTGGTTCTTCCTTTTCATGTCCTCCAGTTGGTCTCGCAGGGTCCTCACTGGCAGGGACAAAAACCCTCCCCATTAAAAACCAGGGAACCATCAACATCACAGCAATGAGACTGGTGGATGGGGCTGTGTGTGTGTGTGTGTGTGTGTGTGTGTGTGTGTGTGTGTGTGTGAAGGAGTGTGTGGGATGCTGACATTCTTTTTCCAGAATCTGCTTCCTGTCCGCCTCGTGGTCAACCTTCCTCTGGATCTCCACGGTCTGGTGCTGCAGCAAGGCCTTATCTCTCTCTAACTGATGGAGAGCAGCTTCCATATTCCTCCTGCTGTTCATCTAGAGAGAGACACAGAGTTGGGACACAAATTCAAGCACATTGGAGATGGAATGATCTTCTACCGCTGCCCACACACCCAAAGGCAGACACACAACTCACATTATAATACACACCTCTTCATCCATTTCTTTGGAGAGCTTTTCAAGGCAATCAACTGAATTCCTAAAAGTAAAAAATAGTAGTAACATTTAGCAGAAACCTGCATAAATCATGTCTGAACCCCCTGAGGGGGGGACAGAGTGATACTAATCCAGATCATTCTATCCTCCTACTTATATTTTTCTTCCAGGTGTTCTTTAGCTTGCATCGCATTGTTAAGCTTTTCTTCCAAGTTCTCCAGCTTCCTCTGTAGATCATTGGACTGTGGACAGAGTGGAGATGTTTGAAATGTTTCTGTGTGGCCACTGACACTGCGGAACTGAATCCGAAGGTCATCTGACAGGGTGGATGCATTGCTGTTTTACAACTGCATGTAAATAATGCAATCATCACTCATTTAACTTATTTCATCACTCTTTCCACGTGTGTCATGCCTTTTAATTATACAGGGTTGTCATGTGCTCTCCGTCACTGCCGAGTTTGTCCCAAAATGAACCAATAGGACATGGTGCAAGTCAGTCAGAGGAAGCACCTTAGCCCATAGTCGCAGACGGCACGTTAGCCCCACCCTGTCAGATGTAGCACATCAGCCTCACCTAGTCACAGGTAGCATGTTAGCCTCACTCAGTCCGATATAGCATGTTAGCCTCACCCATAGAATACCTTACCTACTGAGAGATAGCATGCTAACCTCACCTACTCAGAGATAGCATATTAGCCTTACCCACTCAGAGAGAGAGCATTAGCCTAACTCACTCATAGATAGCTTCATCCTGTCAGAGACAACATGCCTGACCAAGTCAACGACAGCACATTAGATTCACCCACTTTGGGTTTTGAGGCATCTTTCAAAACTAGTGGCTGTACTAATACCACTTTTCCACTGACACCAAGAACCAAACCATACTGCAAACTGACGGTTCCCCATTGTACATTATGCAAGCCGCACCCACGCAGATATGGCCCTGCTTACTAGGAGGGCCGAAAGTCTGGCCAAACAGAGCTGGTTGTGTCACCACCATCTAATTGGTCAAAATGCACATAGATATCAGATATCCGCTCCGATATGCATGGACTAAACGAAGGGAAAAAGGGAATATTCTATATACTATTCATTATTAGTAATATCGGACACCATGATGCATTCATGCACTCCCAATAACTAGGAACATAAGATTCCAACCACCAAATTAAAGTACTATAGAACAGCTGAACCACATGGATTCGTAATGCACAGTTACACAAGCGAATGCTAATTCTGCTAGCATTTCATGCTAACATAAAACGGGGATTCTCAGACTTGCTAGCGGAAATCGGCACATAGTAAATAATGATGTACACCGTATGAACGGTATGTAAGCGTTTCTCTGGCTTTACGTCACTCTCGCTCTCCGAACCTGGCAACGCCTTTACTGAGACAATCATTCTGCAGTGGAAAACCAAAGTCAGCTGGAACTGTGCTGTAACTAGTCTCTCTCTGCGGTACGGCTCAGGTACGGGTCGGTTCCTGTATGCCAGTGGAAAAGCGCCATTATTCTGCCTTTAATATGACATGGCATCGCACTGAGAAGCGGAGCTGAGGTTCCTCACATAAGCACACATACAGACGTAGCCTCAGGCAGTAAACACTATAAGAACATGCAGACCAGGCGGAGATGGAACAACCTCTTGTTTGGATGACACTGGATGTATGTTGTCCACAGTGGTAGGATTCTTTGGCAGCCTGCAGAAGAGACCACATTTAAGAACCACACCAGAACATGCTATTTTGCTTAAACGGCCATTCAGATCTTCATGTATAAATATACTGCTGTCCCATCATATGTATCAATTACGTATCAGAAGTGCCAGGAATAAGAATGCTATAAAAACGTTAGCATCCATTAGCCGTAAGGGTAAGTTATAGGAAAGGGGGAAACATCGAGTGAACCAAAGCCAAGTGGCAGTGAATAAGTGCAGTGTAGTAAGACAAGGTGTCAGTGTGTGGCTGTCTTTATGTGGCTCTCAGAGACCCCCCCAATGCCCCTCCCTGTGGCCACAATCCACCCCCCCCACACAAATAGACTAAAATATCTGTGTACATTTACACACAAGTGCGCACACAGAGTCAAACACAGACTAAAATATCTCTGTGTACATTTACACACACACACACACACACACACACACACAGATACAAGCAGGCAGACAGACACACACACACACACACACAGACCCTGCGTCGCCCTTACTGGTCCTCCTTGAAGTAAGTGAAGCCCACAAATGGCAGTTGGTTCCCCACAAAGGCCTTCGGTATGGGAAATGTTTCCAGGTGACACTTCTCGTCCTCGATGTCATCGAAGTTCCTGGTGTCTATGTCACTGTTCAGTTCGGGAACCACGGGAGCTACAGCTGGGGTGAGAGGAAGGAGCAGAGCGAGATGTCGGTGCGGCGTACGAGTGCAGAGCAGAACATCACACTTTAAGCTTCATGCTCATGTGAAAGTCTGGAGTAGTTTGTGTCGAAATGGGAGTGTTTCTGGGAAGTATCTGGCTGGGGAATTCCCGACCCATCAAAGGGCACAAAGTTGGGGTATCAAACCCAACAAAGCACATACTTACACACGCAATCGCACGCTATGGGCAATCTAGAGATATCAATTAGCCTAACCGCAGAGAGGTAACCCACGCAGTACAGGGAAGACACACAATCCCCACCTACACACAGAGTGCAGGCAGGTTTTCCACCGCTCAGCCCCAGAGGCGAGGCAACAGCGCCACCTGCTGAACCACCGCACCACTTTTCTATCATTTATAGTAAACAGTTTTAATTATATGTGGGTCACATTCCAAGGGACAACAAATGAGAGACAGCTGAGGGCTACGCAGGGATGACACGCTTAACTGCGAATGCCACACCATTCCATCGCAGTGAGAGTGTCTGGGTACCTGCGCGTCCAAGCGGCAGGGAAACAAACCTTTTTCCCGGCATACCTGTGGCATCCGGTCCACGTGAGGCGAGAGCGTGCCAAGGTACACGGGGTGCCCAGGCGAACGCGGCCTCCACCCGCCTGCACTCACAGTACCTGCTTTGTGTGCACTGCACACTGGGCCTTTGAAACAGCTGGCAGCACAGAGCGCTTATGTTCCCCAGTTGAAGCCCCAGGCCTCGGGAAGCTGGCAGGTCTGTGTCACTGCGTAACTCCCCCCCCCCCCAAATCAACAACCTCGGACACAGAGCAGGAGAGCGGCATAAGTAAAAGACCCACCTCTCCCCCAGAAAAAGTGAAACGGAATGGACTGCAAAACGGCAAACGGGCTGATTTCAGCGTCCTCAAGAGCAGGACGAGCCTTAACAAGGGGCAGCTGTTCCCACCGTGAGTGAGAGTGGCCCCCCCCCGCATATGGGCCTGTGGGCTGGGGGCCCCTGTCATTAGCAGCACTGCGCCAGCCACACCATAGGGCCCCGCCCCCTGTGGCACACGCTCAGAAAACCCCTCCCACATTCCTGGCCAGAGGCAAAGGGCTGGCACCCGCATCTGATGGGATTAGAAAGCAGAGGGGATATTTCAGGGAAGAGGAGCGCTCTCTATCCAGGCAGACGGGGGACCAGGCCAGGGAAGCGACTTGCATGTATCTTTACTGAGTTCAGGTTAGGACTTTTCTTCCCAGTTTGGACAGTTTGAGAAGAACAGGCAGGATTAGACAGAGCATGTAAAGGCACAGACCAGCGGCAGCATGTTAGTAAGGGTGCCAACTACATTTTAGCAGCTCAGTTGATGGGTTACGGTCAGTCTGGCTCCAACTGTAGGCTACATGGCCCAGTCGCAGAAAACACTGCGAAACAGTTTGAGCAGGAAACAAAGATTTCTAATTTTAGAAGTTAAGCAAGAGCAGTACAATTGGAAATAATTCACAATAGAAAACCCCCCCGCGGGATCTAAAGACGTCAGAATATGAGCAGGCAAATAGCAATTTAGAAAAACACATACCCTGCAAGTGTGTGCGTCTGTCTGTGTGTGATGGAAAGAGAGAGAGAGAGAGAGAGATCAACCGATCTCATTAGGCAGGGACAGGTACTTACTCTCTCTGATGGTATCAAACGTCCACTGGTCGTTCGTAAAGAAGGGATGCCGATTAATCTCTTGGATGCCGTTTCGGCCCAGACGCACCTCCCTGTCCATGAAGCAATCACTCCGTCACTGACTGTCCCATCATCCTGCTGCCGGCCGCCATTAAAGCACCGTGCGACCAGCAGAGAACCAAACAGCGACCGCGAGTCATAACGGAGGAGAGAGCAGCAAGACAGACCAACGTGAATGAAAACGGCCCACTGTCCTCCCTCTCTCCCTCCCTCTCCGTGTGGAGATTCTGAGGACAGAGGAGTGGTTTACACTGCCACATTTCGGCGGGGGGGGGGGGAGACGACAGAGGGTGGGACTGCAATTGGGCTCAAGTCAGTGTGGACGACTGGAATATCTGAGTGTTTACTACATCCTGCCAATTTACGACAGGAGTATTTCACAGGAGACCCAAAAACACCTCGTTTCTGTAAACAGGAAGTGCCAAGTGACATCGGAATCATAATCCTGTGACAGTCTCTCCTCGTTTCCTTAGAGAGTGGGACATCAAATGTGCCTACACAAGAACTCAAAACAAGCTATGCTGCATACAGCCCCAAAAACAACATCCCAAACATGAAAATGCCAAAGACCAAAGAGACCGGAATTTACCTGTCTGTCAGGAAAGCACATATAAGACTTTTAGCCTCCTTCGAAATCTCCATGTCGTCAGGGAAGACAAGACAGTTTTTGTGATTCATGATTTTTCCATACGTCCCAACCAGAGATTCTGCGTAAAAGGGCGTTTCACCTAGATGGAGTGACCGTGAACAGGAAATATGGTGAAAACATTACGATTATGCAATAAAATGTTATTGCTATTGACAGATGCTGAGAATAATGACTGATAGAGACCACTGATATTGCTGGGGTTTGAACCAACGAGTTCAGTCATTAATAAGTGAAGTAGCGGGTAAACGACACCTGCAGCATCACCCTCGAAGGATGGTGCATGGCTGGTGATCAGGTAGCACGACCAGACCTGGCTAATCCATCAAGGATTCACAAGATCGAAGGCGCAGGTGGAGCTCACTCACCAACCAGCATCTCGAAGAGGAACACGCCTACCGACCACCAGTCACACTCGCGGCCGTAACATCCATCTTTCTCCTGAGACATGAGCACTTCAGGGGAAATGTAGTCAGGGGTGCCAACCGCAGTACCACAGCGCACCATGCCAGCCTGCAAGAGGCAAGATTGTCTAAAGATAGTCTGGCAGCTTCCAGTGGATGGATACTATCGAAATCTGAAAATCTCACAACTTCAATAACAAAAACTCCCCTCTACAAATAAGGTTCCTAAGCGACATTTAAAGATTCACTCTGTTCTTGCTTGCACAACGATTTGTCCACAAGGGGGCACCATCATACAGTTCATCTATGTAGGCAGGGCCACAAGCTTCCAGTGTGCGCAGCGTTCCTTAATTATCCAACACTAATACTGCTGTCATACAACTCACGTTGTCCATTTTCAGACAGGTGCCAAAGTCGGCCAGTTTGAGGTGGCCAGTCCGGTCCAGGAGCATGTTGTCGGGCTTGATGTCGCGATGAATGAAGCCCAGGGAATGGATGGCATCCAGAGCTAGAACCACCTCAGCCGTGTAGAACTGGGCCCACGTCTCAGGGATGTCATAGCTGCTGATGAGTGTCACCAGGTCTCCGCCCGGCATGTATTCCATCACCATGTAGAGGTGGCGGTCATCTTGGAATGCACAGCACAGCTATGAAAAACAAGACAGCGTAGATCGAGATTTGCCATCGTGCTCATTAGACTTCCTCTGCCGGCCCCCGGAGGATGGGGCTCCTCCCAAGGTTCCTTCCTTCTAGGAAGTGTTTCCTTGCCACTGTCTCCTCTGGCTTGCTCACTGGGGGCTTTGGGTGGGGATAATGCGAAGTGCTTTGTGACCATGTAATGTTGTGAAAATGCACTATACAAACAAAATTGAATTGAATTTAATTGAATTGAACTGAATTGAATAGATCGACCGGCAGCCTGCCTGTGCCTGACTCAGGCCAAACTCCTGATAACATTTCTGCGGTGTCTCATTCATGTGGAACAGCTACAGAGTTCCAGCCCAGTTTCCCCGTAGCCTCTTTGATATTGCTGACCTGAACGACCCAGGGACTGTTGGAAAAAGCCATGATTTCACGCTCCTCCCAGAAGAAGGCAGAGTCTGAACGCTTGATCATCTCAAATTTACTCAGTCGCTTCATGGCGTAGACCCTCCGAGAGACTTTGTGGCGAACCTGTGCAGAGAAGTAGTGGATCAGGACTAAACTCACACAAACCCCTTAGGCTGTTCCCAGACCAGTGCAGACTTGTCCCACAGTCTTATGCATCCAGATAATGATGTTTTTGTTTTTACCATGCTACACACAGCTGTGCTCCTTGGGGGGGGAGGGGCATTTCAGTTTAATAGGAACTTAGCAGAGCATCCATATCTCATATAAATCTCTAACTGCGCATGCATACTCCATAGATATGCCAGGGAAAGCTGTAAACAAGCAAAAGCACGATAGCAGAATTCCTAGCATGAGAATTAAGGGATACTGCCAGATGATGGGAAGTTCTCACCAGCTGAACTTCTCCAAAGGCTCCCCTTCCAATAACTTTCACCCTTTCAAAGTCCTCCAGTTTCATCTGCAGTCCCCGAATGTGCTCTATGACTTTCTCATCTGGACACAGTCACCAGAACGTTCAACCAACCAACCAACCAACCAAAACAAAGACAAAAATAAAACAAAACTTCTTACAAACATAAAAAGGAACGAATGGAATAGACTTAACCTAAAAGAATGACCTCAGCGAGGAGAACATAATGACATTCTTTACCACTCTAGAACAGTTCAAACTGGAATTCCAATCATATGAGGAAGTACTTACACCTATTCAAAAATGCATCCACATTTTTGTTCTTACGTAGAACAGGATAGTCCAAGTCTAACACCAAGGCATTCATGGAATCCTGTAAAGGCAGAAAGTCAGGTTTAAACAAATACTTATCAATGAAATGTAAATTTAGTGCGTATAGAAAGCAAGTTGATAAAAAGGTAAATCCACTAGTTTTTCAGAGTAGAGTTACATTAACCACAGCTAGTTCAACACTGCAGGAGAGCTCCTCTCAGCCTGCAAGAAACATATAGAAATATAATCCTCTTCCTCAGCACCTAATGTGGAAATGCTGGGACAAGTTATCTAAGGTGTACCAGGCCCAAATCTAGAAAGCAGAGAATTACGGTATATCAGTTACCATATCAGTATTGGTCAAGGTTCATTAAAAATCTACACATCAGCATCAGCCCAATGTGTCAGTTTTGGGTGAAGGTGTGTCTATATTTAGACCTTAGTTTTCTAAAATAATGTTGTTGTTTGCATTGGATGATCCGGCATTTTCTGTAGTGATGACCAGGAATTCCATCGCCTTATTCACCACTTAGAACGTCACTGCAATCTCCCACGCCGGCTGTGCTTTGCCGACGTCTTTGCCGACGTCTCACTGACTGTTTACATGGTGTGGTTGCTACACACATTCACTAAATATTTACAAGTGACGTCACTCACATCAGTTTCACTAGAGTTATGGAGCTCAGAGGATATCCGGTTATCATTATTGGTAATAATAAACAAAAATATCTTGCCACTATTGGCCAAAATTTACACATTAGCGCGCCACTACTAGAAAGCCTTTTCGCAAACCACAGACCAAAGATAAACCTCAGAGAACCTCAGCCTTCACCCAAAGGATTACAGGACAGTGACTGGACTGGACGTTAAGCCAAAAAAAACAAGGGTCAGTCAAGTCAGTGCGAAACCCAGCCTCCCAATAAGGGAACAGCTGAGAAGTTGAGAGCGTGTGGCTCAGCAGGTTAGAGCAATTTCACAGTTACACCCTGAGGACGGCTCTTACAACTGAGCGATTACTCCAGAAGCTGGCTGACCCTGCATTCTCAAAAATGTACATCACTTTGAATAAAAGAACTTTCTTAATGAATAAAATGTATTGTAATAATAGTATAGTGCCAGAGAGGTAGCCATGAATGAACCATGAAGCCTTAGGATTTGTGTCGAGGGAGCCACTCTGGCCTTATAAATAGGCAGGCATGAAAAAATAGTCTAGCAGCTGTTTGCCTAGATCTACTGGCATCCTAACGCTCCATTAGTCAGCGTTTCATTTCGAGTCTAAAAAATTAATTAAAAGAGGACGTGAGCTCTCTACCAAAGCATGTGTGTGAGCAATCGCGTTACGTACAGGTCTGTGTTCGATCAGGGACACGCATCTAAACCAGCGGGCAGCCGGCACAGCGCTCCCTTGCTTACCACGGTCCGTGTTACGATATTTCTACCTTTACGATGGGTAAATGTTTTTCACTTCCAGTACATTATTCAATAAATTACATGAGATATCCAACATTTTATTATAAAATAGGCTTTGTGTTAATAATTCTGCCCAACGTCAGGCTAATGCAAGTGTTCTAAGCATGTTTAAGGTAGGCAAGGCTGTGATGTTTGTTAGGTTAGGTGTGCTGTATCAAATTGCATTTTCGCCTTATGATATTTTCAGCTTAAGCTAAACCTATCGGAACGTAACCCCATGGTAACCTGGGGACAGGCTGTATATTTAAGAAGGATTAAAATAGTGATGACTTGAGCACAATGCAAAGGGGGGGCTTGGGGGGCTGCGTGAGCAACGTCATCGCCTAGACTCAGGTCCAGCACCATGTATTCATATCTGCAAATAAATTCTGACTCAGCAGAAAAACAGGCCACAGACACAAATATGGCCAATGGGAACAAACAGGTGTGTTAGTTAAGCACATTGGGCGGCATCTACCTCCTCAGGTGCTTCAAGATACGAGATAACTAAATGGGGACAGAAGAGAGGCTCTGGCTTCATTACTTCTGCACTTTTCCTGAACCTGTTTTTCTGCAAATTACCCTGACAGTCAAACAGCTGCAGAGATAATCAGATTCATGAGCACAAACAAATGCCTTGTATGTACACACCCTTAAGGCAGCCGACATGCAGCCACTCGGCAGGACTTCACGCATCGTGGAATTTACTCGTAAGCAGAATTTTTTCTATGAATTCCACAGAATCAAACCTTTTTACAGGTGGGAACAGCATCAGTCTTCAAAGACAGCAGGCTGCCTGATTTTGTTGGGGCATTTTCTTAATATAGACATACATGCGAAATACCCGCTAACCTGACCCATGCAGGTCCAGCATTCATACAGGTTTATTTGCACATGTCCAACCCATCAAATCTATCAAAAGTTGCATTATACTTATTTCCTAGTGTAACCTTTTCATTTGCATATTTTACCATATACTGTACTGATGACAAGATACTAAGCAACTGTAACAACTGTAACAAAAATAAAGATCAAGGCTTATTCCTAAGATTCTTATAAGTCATTTCTAAAACAAACAAACAAAAAAAACACACACAAAAAAAAAAAACAACATTTTGTAGCGAAATGTCAGGCATAGTACATTGGTGCTCAGAGGAATGCAAATTATGTAGGGAACTGGCCTCTGTTACCTTGAACATACACAGCACCCAGTATCCAACAAGTGGTCGAGTCAATTTGTTTATCTCACAGCCTTTAAACTTCCTCCATAGCAGCTGGGGCCAGATTGTTTCTCAAATTTACACTGAATTCACTTCAAAACTCTTTCTAAAAATGGCCAGTATAGAAGGAAGAGAGCTGGTTTGAGATACTATCAGACAGGACAATGAATGGGGGGAAGTTTATTATGGAAAGAAGAGGAAAAAAAAAAAAAAACAGCAAAGCTAACCTACACACAAAACATGTCAAGTCATTGTTCAGTAAAAGCCGTTCCGACTGTGAAGTTTAATGATAAATGTGAGCCATAAGCCCAGTTAACTAAATAAACTAATTTGCATGCTTAAATTATGGCTATACCTCTACATGCATATCTAGCTTAACACTGTTAATAAAGATAACAGTTAAGATAAGCTAATTGGTTTGTGACAGGCCTGGAAAGGGCAACCAGGTCAGTGTTCCATGGTTAGATGACCAACACTGTAGGCACAGAGCCATTCAGTCACTGTGCAGAAACACACAGAGTATCAGCCACTCGGGCACCTGTGCGAGAGGCTCCTACGGTAACCCTGTGAGATCAACCGCCAAGAATATAAAACTCACAGCGCTGCAAAGGTACTGCAGACTGGCCGGCCAATGAGGCACTGTTACTCATGCTGAAACAGACTGCATCTTTAATGTTGGAGTTACACTGGAGTTAGACCCAGCAAGAAGAAAGTCGTGACTTTTCAATAATGGGGGAGGGGTTAACACAGTTCAGGGTGAAGCAACTTAATGTATAACAGAGTGTAGCCATCATCTCAGCTGGTCCATCTCACTTCCCACTGAAGCAAACCTCTACCTCCTTTCTGGTGAATATTTATCACAAAATAATAAACACATATTCAGGAATAAGTCTGAGCCTGACCCACTAAAAGCCCTTCCAACCTCTCACAGTACAAAAAAAAAAAAGTTTTATACAATGGTTTTGCATGATAAATATTACGTGTATCTCCACCTATACACGAAGTCCATGCCTGATCAAAGGCGTTCAATGACCTGAAAAGCGCATGAAATGAAACGTGAATGTAATGAAATCCTGTCTATACCCCTGCCGTATGGGCAGCCTTTTCCCACCACGGTTACGTGCCGTTAAAAAGAAAAATCAATAAGTAAAATGAGCAGTTCACCCTTCTTTTCAGTTTTCTGTCGTCTTCCCCGAAATATCACTCGTAGGGGAAAAAAACTCTCGCAAAACACTTCCGCTGCGTGTTAAGAAATGGTATCCCCCATACCCCATAGATACTCAACCACCACATTGCCAGAAGTAGTGCAAATGTAAAAGGCATTTCACTTATAAAGCTGCCATGCAATCTTAATCTTGCAAAGGTGTCAGTGGTTCTTCCGCTACGCGATACCTGCATGTGTTTTAAAAGGTGCCTAGGCTTTGAATCGCGGCACATACCAGTAAGCTCTCCAGGTTCACGGCGGACTTCGGGTCACCGATCATCAGCGCCAGCCGCTCCAGCCGGCTGTCCAGCCTCTGCTCAGCCCCGCACGACATGTTCCTGCGGAGAAGATGAGCTTCTTCGGTAGGGAAGACCTAGACGGCTGCGTTAGAAGGCGCTGCTCCCCCGCTGTTACTGCGGTCGCCTCCCACTCCGGGTACAAAAAAAGGGAAACGGCGTGGAGATACTGCCCTTTTCAAACTTTTGTTAAGATCCCCAAACAAACCTGTGTTTTTTTTTCCCCACCGGCTCCTCTATTGTTAAAGCTCTGCAATTTCTGTAGTTACAGTCAATCAGTTGGGCTATTCAAAAAAAAAAAAAAAACGTATGTTGTTACGCCGCGTTCAAAATCAGTCTTCATAAGAATGGGAAGGTGAGGCAGGCAGTTTCTCCCACAGTAATCCCAGATCACACCTGCGGTCAAGCGCACAGCAGTCTGATTGCCGATCTTTGCGCAGAATTTGTTTTTGATGTGTAGTTCAGGTCCGTGTCCGTAGCGACTGATACCGGATCCCACACTAGAGAGCCCCTGAACTGCAGAAGCCCCCCTACTCACAAAGCCCAGTCACATGCCAATTCCTCTGGCCTTATCTCATCGCCTGTCTAGAGGGGCCGACATTTAGAGACTTGCCGCACGACCTTTGAACTGCTCCGTCTTGTGTATATGAAGGTACATTAATTTAATAAGTTTAGAAAGATTGAAACAAGTTTCTAAGCATTTTATATTACATAGGATCTCAATAATATTAAAATGCTAACACATATACAGAAAATTGCAATAAGAAAGCCGATGTGGCCATTATTCAGTGATCTATAGTGAGGTCAACAAGGAGAAGCATTACAATAACCGTAATCTGTAATGTGTTGCGTGACTGACACTCAGTTAACACATTCTCACAATTTATTTGACTTGTTTTAAAAGTCTGTTTGATGAGCGCCGCCTGGTGGCCACTATTATCTTACGTTGCCCTCCGGTTATGTAATACAATACAGCAACTCTTTTCCAAAATAATCTTCCAGTTATCTGGTCGTTTCTAATGAAACCTACGAATTCCACACGCACATTGGAGGCTGGAATTACACCCCCAACCCTGGAGGTGTGAGACAACAGTGCTAACCACTGAGCAACCATACCGCTCCCATTTGATATATTTTCTGTAATAATTTCAATACACTCAGTACTGAAGTCAAAATTATACCACAAGACTGAGAAAATGTCTGTAATGACAGATAATGTTACAGTGTTATTACTGCAGAGAAATCTGACTTCTTCATTGTTTTTACTGTATCTATATTTGTTACGTAGTACCTATAATGAAAGGAAATAAAACTTATACAGTAAAGAAGTAGAATACACAAGGCTTACAAGAGTATTCATCTTACATTAAGCGGGATTAGTCCACATGTTGTCGTGGGGTATCTTCCGAATACTCCAGTTTCCCCCCACAGTCCAAAGACATGCTGAGGCTAATTAGTGTGCATGTGCGAGTGGATGGTGTGTGAGTGTGCCCTGCGATGGGCTGGCCCCCCATCCTGGGTTGTTCCCCACCTCGTGTCCATAGCTTCTGGCATAGGCTCCGGACACCCCGTGAACCAGAAGGATAAGTGGTTTGGGAAATGGATGGATGGATGGAATGGCCTGTACTTCCATTTCTGTCTTTTGTCGAGCAAGAGCCATGATGGAGGCTCATAGATCACAGGATCTTTTTGCAAGATTGGTCAGTTTTACTTGGGAAATAAAACGTTAATTCAAAAGGATAGACACCAGGCACAAAATCATGTTTTGAAGGGCTAAATGTGTGGCATATAGCATGACGGTGATTTTGCTCTTGTATCCTCTGAAATTCCAGCAGTTACAAACAGAAATGAGAGAAACTTTAGTTCACCCCCCTATCTCTTTCCCCCAAGGCCACGGACTGATAGCTGTACTTATTACCGAAACTTGAGACTTTGCTCCAATTGGTATTTTACATTTCTGGCATGCATGGGCAGGCAAAAACGCTCAGACTCAGGACAAGCTTCAGGCCTGCTTGTGAAGCACCTTGAAGAAGGTCAGGATCAGCCCCTGTCCTGCCCCCTTCAGTTGGTCAGGTTCCCTGTGTGGCCAGCAGGGGTCGCTGGTCATCCCTTACTGTGTGCATTCTGTTTCTGCGGTTGTCTTGTGGCTTGATGTGCTAAGTGGCTGGTTCTGCATGCACACCCCCATTTATTGCTGTAGGTTTGAGGCTAGCCAGCCTCAACCCCATTATAATTAACTTGTTATTTCTTATATTACATGTTAGTTATTATTTAGGGTATTTCTGTACAGTTCTTTGTTTCGCCTCCTCATGTAGTATGTTTAGTTTGCCTTGTTTTACTGTCCATTGGTGTTCGAACTTTCCTGTATCTGTCAGTTAACCTCACCCACACCCCATTGCCCTTAGGCTTCTGTTGGTAACAGCCCACACCTGCCCCTTGTTCGCCTCATTATCCATGTATATATGTGCCTGTCCTTGCCTTGTTTCCTCAGTCGGCCATTGTGGTTGTTACTGTAGGTGTTTCTTGCTATGGTTGTTCCCTGTGGTTGCTGTGATTGTTCCTGTGTTGCTCCCTGCCTTACTTATTGTAATTTGCCTGCTTTGTTTCTGACTACTCGTGGTCTCTTTTTGTCTCGTTTTCTTTTTTTTTCTTCTTTTTTTTAAATAAACCCCTTTGTTTGTGAGCCACAATGTGGATCATCTTTCCCTGCGTCATGCCCTGTCGCAACACAGATGTTGCTAAAGAGAACATCCAGGATATTGTAAACCTTTCATAATAAAAACAATATTTCTGTGGGGGAACCATGTAAATATGGCAGCTGGAATCTCTTAAAGGTAGCCTATAGGTCTTCTTTATACACCATAGTGAAGTTCTCTTTCTTTCCTTAGTCTTTCTTACAGACACAAAATCCCTTTGTAAGAATACCCATCATTGTATTGGAGTAATATAAAATTGTTGATATACTATCTTTCAGGAGTGAACTGGCCATCGGGAAACTCGGAAAATTTCCCGACTGGACAGTCTAATGAAGGCTGGTGTTCTGCCCTTTTTTTCCTACCCCACACAAACTGCTTCCATGTGCTACAGCTCACGTGTAAATAAACATTACATCTACAATGTCCGAACATTTTTGCCAGCCTTGCGTATTAATATGGCTTAGCTTAAATGTTAATCATAGTTTGTCGACATTTGTGTTTATTGCAAAAAAAAATCGAGGTGATTGTTAATATATTGTTCGCATTTTTACGGACTCTGAATTCTGTAAATATGGGACCGGACCAGATTTTACCATTAAACTCGAAAGTACACGTGTATTTGTTTTGCTTTTTGAGACTACTTTAAATTGTGATCTTTATTTTAATTACAGTAAAAACATTTAATTTCAATAACAACTAACAATAGGTATGTTTCTGTTTTACCTGGAACTAAACTTGTCTGTGTTCTGTCCAAAGCGGCTTCTGATGCGTTTCAGATGAACGGAAAGTAAGATTGAATGGTAACACTTTAAAAAATTAAGTTGTGATGTTAATATAACGTGCTTCAAATTAAATGTTTAAAATGAACTTATGCTGTTATGTCATGAAGTGTTACATGAATGTTTAAGTGAAACAAATAAGCTATGTTAACATTCATTGTTCTTATTAACCGCTTAAAAAGAACTCAGTAAATGTTTGTGAAAGAAATAACTTACTCTAACACCACATTCATTACTAATGAGTTACAGTGTGTTTCACTTTATAATACTGTTCTTGTTCTTTAGTAACTCCTATGGAAGAAGTCAGTAACACCACATTCATTACTAATGAGTTACAATTAGTTTTATTTAGGTCATTAGTAAGACTTCATTCCTTATTTAAAATGCATACATTAATTTCTTAATGTTTAGAGAAGATCAACAATATATGGTGGAGCACATCATGTGGCAAAACACGAGTCTCTGTTTGACCATCCCTTCAGTTGAACTTCAAAGCACAGTTTGAAGAACACTGGCACACGGACTGAAGTGAGGTAAATAATTAAAATGTAGGTACTGTATACATATTTTAGGCAGTAATATTTTGTAGAATAAGTTGTATGTCATACAAACAAGTAGGAAGAAACAAGCCTGTTATTCCAAAAGGAAAAAAAAATGGCAAAAACCATTCAGAACAGTAGCCTGTAAGTTCCTGTTAGTCCAAAAAAAAGCACTGTTCATTTGATGAGTAATGAACTAGTAGTTATTAGAAATAATCCATAGTTAGTACATAATTCCCAATGAGACCAGCAATACTCAATAGTTCCTAATGAAGTAATAGAGAACTACTATAATAATTAGTTCACTATTACCTATTGAGTAATTAAGCATAACTCCTTAGTAGTTAATAGTACCAATTTAGGTGTTAATGAAGCGCTACTCCTTTGTTGCTGCTTACTTCCTGCTTATTTACCTGTTAACTACGGAACAGTATTATAAAGTGTTACCGATTGGGTGGAAAGTGTTTCTTGTTCCATTACCAGGGATCTTGCAGGGGGCAGTAGTTACCAAGTCTGATGTAATGTTCAGACCAAAATTCATGTTCAATTCATACTTAAATATACGGGCATCTCTAGCAAAGAAAAAATGATGTCGATATGATGCTAATAAATCAACGCCAGCGAAGAAGTCCTGGGGATGGACGTAAGGAATGAAACACACGTGCTAGTTCTCGCTTACTCCGTTTCCGCTATTGCATGTATGCCAAAGGCTGTCAGTGCTAAACTAAGCGATTTAGTTCAACTAATGGTTTTAGTCACACATATTTTGATTCTGGAAAGAAAACTAAAATAAAAGCTTGGCCAAGTAAAGCTCACCGCAGGTGTTCAAATAAGCAATAGCCTACGACAGTCCAGTTCCTATGATCGCTGAAAAGAGTAATCCCGTCTGCACGAGTCTCCATTCCTGTGTCACATTTTGGTGACCGGATTAAGTCACATGGACGTTAGTAAAACAATCCCATCTCCTTGCTAACTTTGTATTATAGACTGTGACAGTAAACAGTCAATGCGTATATTCGCCACTAGATGTCAGTATTTCCGGATCCATCGAAATCTGTTCGCATAAGTCAGCTGAAGACAACGCTACGGTTCCAATTGTAAAAGTAGGGGTGTCGGAATGTTAAATGATTTAAGATGTTACAACTAAATACTGAAAATACAACACGAAAATAAATCTGGTATTTGTATTTATAGAGGGTGGACAAATGAACGGAAACGTGAGGAAGTGAATTGAAGCAACTAAATCATATTTAAAACACAGGCACAAAGAATGGAAGTAGCCTATGTGTTCGGTATCTTATAAAAGAGCTGAGGAGAACATCCATCCTTCCGAAGCAACCTGTTCTAGAGACGCAGGAGTCGTTGGGCAAACAACCTGGCAGGTTGGGTGTGATGGTTCAGTTCGGGATGTTTTGCATTTGTGCTTTGCATTAGTATATTGTATAGGTGTTTCCATTATTTTGTCCACTCCCTGTATATCCTTCATTTTAGTCATTGTTCAGCAGTAACAGTGAGGATTATTAGGCCTATGTTAAAGTTTTTTTTTTAAGATCTGATGAATTGGAT